CAGGAAACTCAGTTTTGCAGCAATTCTCAGCCCGAAGGAGCTTACAATCAACAAGTATCTCCCTCTCTCTCTCCATTTCCCTCCCTCTCTATTTCTCTCTCTATTTCTCTTTTTCTGTCTGTCTCTCTCTCTGTCCCCTGGGGGAGGGAAGGAACCCTTGAACTGGTGCTGGGTGGTGGGAATCTGATGTCCAGAGGCTGACGAAGTGGTGCACTGAAGACCAGTGGCTGGCGGGGAGGTGGAACAATCCTATGGTCTCCCCAAAACTAACTCATCTCTTGTCGCTTGAAACTTGAAAACTAATCCAGCCAGCGGGTGGGCGAGCAGGCGGCCCTCCTCCAATTCAGTCCTCCTGCAGCACTCTGCCAGCTGCGCGGAGGCCCCAGGAGGCCTCTGTGTGGCCCATTTTTGGCCTCCCTCACCTCCAGAAGCACTGCCGGCCAAAAACATTTGCCTAACCTTCCAGTTCCAGCCCGCAGGGCTCGCAAAGGTAAGTTTTGCACTCAGCTGAAGGGTGGAGGTGGGCAGGGCAGCCTCGTCCCGCACGGGCCGGAATAATGGCTTCTGCGGGCCGTGGGCCATAGTTTGAGGACTCCTGCTATAGGTCATTGCACTCTGCTACACAACTAATTCCCACAACACTGTTTTATGCCCTAGGATGTCAAACTACCTAGTAGGACTCTATTACTATTATCCTTCTCATCTTTCCTATTGCTTATTTCTTTAGCTTCTTATGACTATAACTTTGTTGTTTGTCATGATTTATGTTGATTGCTTTTATTTAGTATCCTATGACTATCACTGAGGGTTGTATCTTATGATTTATGATGATAGAATAGAATAGAATAGAATAGAATTCTTTATTGGCCAAGTGTGATTGGACACACAAGGGATTTGTCTTGGTGCATATGTTGAGGTTGTTGAGAGTGTGGTTGCGCAACAGCTTCCCCAGCACCTGGATGAAACGACGTATCTGGATCCGTTCCAGTCGGGCTTCAGGCCCGGGTACAGCACGGAAACGGCATTGGTCGCGTTGGTTGATCTCTGGAGGGCTCGGGACAGGGGGTGCTCCTCTGTCCTGGTCCTGTTAGATCTCTCAGCGGCTTTTGATACCATCGACCATGGTATCATGCTGCACCGGTTGGAAGAGTTAGGGGTGGGAGGCACTGTGTTGCGGTGGTTCTCCTCCTTTCTCTCTGACCGGTCGCAGTCTGTGTTGACAGGGGGACAGAGGTCGACCCCGAGGCCCCTCATATGTGGGGTGCCGCAAGGGTCGGTCCTCTCACCTCTCCTGTTCAACATTTATGTGAAGCCGCTGGGCGAGATCATCCGTGGTTTCGGGGTGGAGTACCATCAGTACGCTGATGACACCCAGCTGTACATCTCCACCCCGGATCACCCCAACGATGCCCTTGAAGTGATGTCCCAGTGCCTGGAGGCCGTACGGATCTGGATGGGGAGGAACAGGCTCAGGCTCAACCCATCCAAGACCGAGTGGCTGTGGTTTCCGACGTCCCGATATAGCCAGTTGACGCCATCACTGACTATTGGGGGCGAATCATTGGCCCCCACGGAGAGGGCTCGCAACTTGGGCGTCCTCCTGGATTCACGGCTGTCTTTAGAAGAGCACTTGACGGCCGTGACCGGGAGGATTTTTTATCAGGTCCGCCTGATTCGCCAGTTGCGTCCCTTTCTGGATCGGGACTCGTTACGCACGGTCACTCATGCCCTCGTCACCTCCCGCCTGGACTATTGTAATGCTCTCTACATGGGGCTCCCCTTGAGGAGCACCCGGAGGCTCCAACTGGCGCAGAGTGCGGCCGCGCGGGTGGTAATGGGAGCGACATGGCGCTCCCATGTAACACCTCTCCTGCGCGAGCTGCACTGGCTCCCGGTGGTCTTCCGGGTGCGCTTCAAGGTTCTGGTTACCACCTTTAAAGCGCTCCATGGCTTAGGGCCTGGTTATTTACGGGACCGCCTACTACCACCAATAGCCTCCCACCGGCCAGTACGCTCTCATAGAGAGGGACTCCTCCGGGTGCCGTCAGCCAAACAGTGTCGACTGGCGGCCCCTAGGGGGAGAGCCTTCTCTGTGGGGGCACCTACCATCTGGAATGAGCTCCCCCCGGAGATACGGAGGATCCCGGATCTGCGCTCCTTCCGCCGTGCTGTGAAGACCTTTTTATTCCATCAAGCGGGCTTGGCCTGATCTCTTCCCTTTTTAAAATATGTAAATTTTAATCTGTTTTTAAATTATTGGGGTATTTTAATTTGTCTGGGCCAAAAAGTTTAATTTGATTTTATCGGGTTTTTAAATTTTGTGTATTTATGTATTTTATTGTTGGCTGTTCACCGCCCTGAGTCCTTCGGGCGTAGGGCGGTATACAAATCAAATCAAATCAAATCAAATAAATAAATAAAATAATATGCTTTCGGTGTACATAAAAGAAAAGATACATTTGTCAGGAATCATAAGGTACAACACTTAATGATAGTCAAAGGGAAACAGTCAATATAAATCTTAAGGATACCAGCAACAAGGTTACAGTCATAAGTGGGAGGAGATGAGTGATAGGAACGAAGAGAAGATTAATAGTAGTGCAGACTTAATAACTAGTTTGACAGTGTTGAGGGAATTATTTGTTTAGCAGAGTGATGGTGTTCGGGAAAAAACTGTTCTTGTGTCTAATTTTTCTGGTGTGCAGTGCTCTATAGTGTTGTTTTGAGGGTAGGAGTTGAAACAATTTATATCCAGGATGTGAGGGATCTGTAAATATTTTCACAGCCCTCTTTTTGACTCGTACAGTATGCAGGTCCTCAATGGAAGTCAGGTTGGTAGCAACTGTTTTTTCTGCAGTTCTAATTATCCTCTGAAGTCTCTGTCTGTCTTTTTGGGTTTCAGAACCAAACCAGACAGTTATAGAGGTGCAGATGACAGACTCAATAATTCCTCTGTAGAACTGTATCAGCTGCTCCTTGGGCAGTATGAGCTTTCTGAGTTGGCGCAGAAAGAACATTCTTTGTTGTGCTTTTTTGATGTCATTTTTGATGTTGGGTGTCCATTTTAGGTCTTGAGATATGGTAGAACCTAGAAATTTAAAGGTCTCTACTGTTGATGCTATGTTGTCTAGTATTGTAAGAGGTGATAGTATGGGAGGTTTCTCCTAAAGTCCACCACCATTTCTACGGTTTTGAGTGTGTTCAGTTCCAGATTGTTCTGGTCGTACCACGAGGCTAGTTGTTCAACCTCCTGTCTGTATGCGGATTCATCATTGTCTCGAATGAGACCGATCACTGTTGTGTCATCTGCAAACTTCAGTAGTTTAACAGATGGATTGTTTGAGATGCAGTCATTGGTATATAGAGAGAGGAGAAGTGGAGAGTATACACAGACTTGTGGGGTCCCTGTGCTAATTGTAAGGGCATCTGATGTGATTCTGCTTAGCTTCATCTCCTGTTTCCTGTCTGTTAGGAAGCTTATGATCCATTTACAAGTGTGTTCAGATACGGCTAGCTGGTTTATCTTAGAAGAATGTCTGGAGTGATGGTGTTGAATGCTGAACTAAAGTCTACAAAGAGGACCCTCGCGTAGGTCTTTGGAGATTCAAGATGTTGTAGGATGTAGTGCAGAGCCATATTAACAGCATCATCTGTTGATCTATTTGCTCGGTATGCAAATTGCAGGGGGGTCTAACAGCAGATCCGTGATGGTTTTCAAGTGAGACAGCACTAGCCTTTCAAAGGTTTTCATAATTACAGATGTCAGAGCAACTGGTCTGTAGTTGTTCAGTCCCTTGATGGTGGGCTTCTTTGGCACTGGAATGATAGTAGAGTGTTTATTTATTTTATTTATTTTATTGAATTTGTATACTGCCCTACTCCCGAAGGACTCAGGGCAGTGAACAGCCATAGAATAAAACATATAAATACAAAATTTAAAATAAACTAAAACGAATTAAATAATTTGGCTGAACAAATTTAAAACCCCAATAATTTAAAACCAAATTTAAAATTTCCATTTAAAAAGGGGAAAGACTTAGGTCAGGCCAGCTTGATGAAATAAGAAAGTCTTGAGCGCGCAACGGAAGGTACGCAGATCCGGAATCCTCTGTATCTCCGGGGGGAGCTCGTTCCAGATAGTAGGTGCCCCCACAGAGAAGGCTCTCCCCCTGGGGGCCGCCAGTCGACATTGTTTGGCCAACGGCACCCGGAGGAGCCCCTCTCTATGGGAGCGTACTGGTCAGTGGGAGGCTATTGGTGGTAGCAGGCGGACCCGTAAATAACCAGGTCCTAAGCCATGGAGCGCTCTAATGGTGATAACCAAAACCTTGAAGCGCACTCGGAAGACCACCGGGAGCCAGTGCAGCTCGCGCAGGAGAGGTGTTACATGGGAGTGCCACGTCGCTCCCGTCACCACCCTCACGGCCGCACTTTGCGCCAGTTGGAGCCTCCGAGTGCTCCTCAAGGGGAGCCCCATGTAGAGAGCATTACAATAGTCCAGACGGGAGGTGACGAGGGCATGAGTGACCGTGCATAAGGAGTTCCGATCTAGAAAGGAGTTTGAAGCAAGAAGGAACATAGCACATCTCTAACGATTTATTGATTTATTGATTGTATTTTGTGGTCCTGATTTATTACTTTCTGCTTGTGTATACATTGAGAGCTTATGCACCAGACAACAAATTCCTTGTGTGTCCAATCACACTTGGCCAATAAAGAATTCTATTCTGTTCTGTTTTTAAACAATTAGGAAACAAATCTTTACTAAAAATGCTTTTAAGTTGTTAGGTATGCCACCTTCACAGAAAACAAAATTTCTTTATCAAGATTTATTAAAAGAAGATACATAAGGAATCTTAACAACTGGTTTTCCAATACTTGATAAATGGTATAGAAATTGAACAGTCATCTTTATGCTCATAAATATGATAAGAATATGACAAAATGCACTAAATAACATTTCTATGTATTTATTAATCTATTTTTTTTTCTTTATCTAGCTGATTGTAATGCCATTTTTAAAAGTCTACAATCTATCTTCCAAAAGGAGGGAATGACAGAGACTATTCATAACTGGGAAAATCATGGTTACCTAGCAACATACGTCAATAAAAATGGCTGGTAAGCTGAATTTTAATATACCCGATTTTTGAAGTACCGGTATGTTATAATTATCAATTATTTAACAGTTTGTCAAGGTTTCCTCTAAGAAGCAAATGAAGTGTATACTTAATTTTTATATTTTAAAAAGTTTTAAGAGTTAATTTCTAATTAACTGTGTTATGAAAAATAGAGAAAATGGCATTTATATTAATAAAAATAACATACTGCTGAAGCTTATTGTTAGGCAAGCTCTAACTTGATGTTCTAATGTCTTAATGGATGAAAATAATTAATTTTTGGAGAAGGGTAGAATATTACAGATACCTTATTACCAAACTGAGGGATATCAGCCTAGAGACTATTTTGGTAAGTAGCTAAATTAGTTGATAGATTTTTTTTATGGTTTCATCATATATCTCTAGGAAGAGACAACAAAATCAAAGGAGGCCCCTTTTTCATAACAATCAACTAATCCTCTATTTTATCACAAATTTTCGACCTACTCACAAGTTAGCATAATGGAGAATGTTATCAAATTAATTCAACAAAAGCAACAAAATTTAAAATTTAGATAAACATTTTATTTATGCTGAAATAGCAGCGCAAAGTTTGACAAAAGATCTTTTTCAATTACTTTTTGATTTTGTAGAGGGAGATAGTCTGATTTTTGGAGATCTGAAGATTTTTTTCTCCAGTCGTAAACAAATCTGTCTCTAAAAGGAACTCTGGCAAAGTCTTCAAAAATGTCTTATATGAAATAGTTTTGATTCATAACAATACAAATAACATGGAAAAAAGAAAATATATGTTTTTTTGAGTTCATGAAACTTGGGAACCGTTTTTGGATTATAGCAATATACTGTATTTTTCGGACTATAAGACGCTCTGGACTATAAGACGCACCTAGCTTTTGGGGAGGAAAACAAAAAAAAAATCTGCCTCTGCCTTTGCCTCCCAGCAATTTGCCTCCTTGCAGCAAACAGCAAACAGCCTGGTCAGCTTCAGCACAGCCTGATTTAGCACGAGCAGCTGATTGGTGGTTGGATCTGCCTCCTGGAATACCACCTATCAGCTGTTCCAAGCTGCAGGGATTGTCACCGCCCATCACTTCCGTCACTGACCATTGCTGTTACCACCTATCACCGCCTCTGCCGCCCCATTTTTGGCCTCCGCATGCCCCGTTTTTGGCCTATCGCTGCCGCCTGGAATGGGCCGAAAATGGGGTGTGTGGAGGCAGAAAACGGGACATGCAGAGGCCAAAAATGGGGTGCACAGAGGTGACGATAGGCGCCAGCGATGATGGGCGACGATGGCAGCAATGGCCGGTGGCGATTCCTGTAGCCTGTAACAATTGATAGACGGTATTCTGGAAGGCAGATCCAACCGCCAATCAGCTGCTTGTGCTAAATCAGGCTGTGCTGAAGCTGACTAGGCTGTTTGCTGCAAGGAGGCAAATTGTGGGAGGCAGAGGTCGAAGGGTGGGGGCTGGCAGGTGGGCGGGGCTTTGGCAACATTTGTTCTATAAAATGGACAGACATTTCCACCCACTTTTTTGGGTGGGGGGAGAAAGTACGTCTTAAACACCGAAAAATATGGTACATTGGTTTGTGTCACATTTATATTACATTTAACATGTTACATTTAACATGAAATTAAATTGTACAGTTTTTATTTTTTATGATTGTAAGCCACCCAGAACTACCTAAGGTAAGATGGGTGGCCAATAAGTTTCATAAATAAATAAAGTCTGAAATTGTAATTCTTTTTTTATGAATTATATTGCATTGATTTTTGTTGTTGATTGCTCAGGTTTTAACAATTTAAAACAATATATAAGTAGTCCTCGATTTACAACAATTTATTTAATGACCATTCAAAGTTACAACGGCACTGAAAAAAGCAACATGAGCATTTTTCATATGACCTTTGTAGCATCCCTATGGTCATGTGATCAAAATTCAGTGGCTTAATAACAGGTTCATATTTATGACCATTGCTGTCTCCCAAGGTCATGTGACCATCTTTTATGACCCTCTGACAAGAGAAGCCAGATTCCCTTAACAACTGGGTTATTAACTTATCAACTGCAGTGATTCACTTAACAACTGTGGAAAGAAAAGTCATAAAAAGGGGCAAAACTGACTTAAATGTCTCACTTAACAACAGAAAAGTTGGGCTCAATTGTCATAAATTGAGGACTACCTGCATTTGGATATTTAAAGCTTAACAAAATACAAATTTTGTGAAGAAATTCACAATGTTTTTAGTATTTCTGTTGCATGGATATGTTGGTATTCTTGAATTGATACGATACAACTACTGTAGACATCCTTGCAGTTTTAATTTTGATAAATAAAGGCACATATATTTATATAATTAAAATGATTTTAATTAGGGTTTTAAATAAATGAATTATAGAGTACAAAGAGGCTAATAACAGTAAGGTAAAATAAAACTGAAAGTGCAAAATGCAAAAATAAGTTAGCAATTAAATCAGTTACATCACCAATAATGAAATCAGTGCTGAGCATTTCAAATAAAACACCATTTTGTTTATATTCCCAGAGGCCTACTCTACTGGTTTTAGCCATCTGACAGAAAAACAGATAATAAACTCCCTCTTGGGAGTTCCAGATCAATCTCTGTGTTCTATGTTAAGTATGTTTCTGGAGACACCAAATGCATAAGATATCCTTTGTTCTTATCAGTTTAGGAGTGATCTAAAGCTGTGAATGACTTTAAGAACATCAGGGGAGTCAGAAACAAATCTTATTTCATTAATGAAGTTTTTGGAACCATGGGTATTCTGGCCCAGATGTTTTCAAAGATCAGTGATGTTCTGTTTTAGTTTGAAGGATTGATTGATTGATTGATTGATTGATTGATTGATTGATTTGCTATTTGGATTTAAAGGGACACTAAAGAAAACCTGTGTTCTCGCAGTGTACAACAAAAAAAAAACAAATCAAATATATAATAACACATTTTAAAAAATCACCCACTATATAAAATGGTGATTGAACACAGTAATTAATCAAAACAATCTGTTGAAGTATAATCAAATACTGGAGGAAAAGTGATTTTCACTTTATTTTCAAAGACCCCCTATTGCTTCCTGCAGCTTAACATACTAGCTCTTTTTAGAGCACTGATAATTATTTAATCCCAATATGTGATATATAGATTTTTAAGATATTTATTAAAACTATGTTTTGAAAGTTGATAAATATTAAGACAAAATATTAAGATAGCGGACAAAAAAAAAAGCAGTAAAATACGCAGATGGCCATCTTTCAGCAAAAACTCAAAGAATAATTGACCCAGAAGAACAAGTAACAGTTTGATGGTAGTAATTTCTCAGTTGTTGCAGAAGAAATAATTATTTAAAATAAAGAGGAACTATTGCCAATCTGATGTCTTCCAGGTGACATCTTTGGCCAAGTTATTTGAGAACTTTGGCTATGTCTCTTAAAAAAAGAAGGGAATATAATTTTTTAATTAGAACACTAACTTACTGTGCAGATAAGGAATGTATTCGTTAGCACACACATATATAGAGAGAGTTTTAGGAACTAAAACTAATTCTTCTTAAATTAGGATTTTATTTAGTAAATTAAATTCTGGGTTTATACTTTTCTTTTTATTGTCTAGCTTTGCGAATCTGAGAATTTATCTTCATGGTTTGGTTTTGGTTGATGTACAGAGTTGCAATGATTTGAATGAGAAAGAAGAAACAGAACAGGTGAGTAAACTATTAATTTTTATTAATAAATAATAATTTTATCAAAAGAGGAAATAAAAATATTTTTATACATTTTTAGCTGAGCTTTTCCCTTCATTTGTCGTACATGTATCATGTTTACAGTGATAAATTGTAAATTGAACTAGGTGAAGTCTTATAGGGGAGGCAGTTTGGAGTAGTTTTTAAGCATCAGGCTTGGCTAATGCATCAGACCATGAGTTCTAATTAGACCTTAGCTATCTGGGTAGCCTTGGGCCAGTCACTCTTTCTCAGCTCTAGGTAGCAAGCAATGGCAAACCACTTCTGAAAAACCTTGCTAAGAACAGGATCTTTTCCAAGCAGTTGCTAGGAGTCATTGCTGACTTAATACCAACCCCCCCCCCAAAAAAAAAACCTCTCCAGGAAACAAAAGTGAAGAGTTTAGATTAGGGGTGTCAAACTCAAGGCCTGGGGGCCGGATCATACAAATGAATAAATGTTATTCATACAAATGATTAAATGGAATTTACAGATATAGAAATTAAAATTTTTCAGAAGTTCATCGATTAACTATAAGTAACTAAGTGTATTATATCGTTTTTAAAATACTAAAATCAATATTGATCTCTAAACAGAATGTATATATCAGAAACAGTAATTTAAGATTTAAGTTATCCTATACAATTGAAATGTTAAGGCTTATATAAAGGGAAGCTCACACTTAATATGGTTCAGTTCGCTATATAAAATTATAGTTTGGATATAGTCTCCAAATGGAGTATCTTTGTCAGATTTATTTTTACATATTCTCACAGTTTAGCCATTCTTTCACAGAGAGGATTTTTAAGTCTGTTTCATAGCCTTTTGAGAGTGAAGTTGAAAATGTTATAAATAATGGAACCTAATTAGATGAGTTATTAAAAAAAGACGAGCTAGTCTTGCTATTATTCCAACAGAAAAACATGAGATAATTTTAAGGATTTGCATTTAGCATCAGTTTAGTTTGATTTCAGTTCATTACAGCATATGTAAAGAACAAAAACAAGTAGACATAAGCAGATGCAATAATCAGGCTTATTATATTTTTCACTGTGAGTCTCCTTCCATAATATTGAAGTTAGATAACAAGCCTTCATAATATTACAAATTATATAAAAGACCTTGTCAACAGGAAATAAATAAATATAAAAGTCATCTGAATGACCAGAATTGTTGCTAAAAAGGGAAAATAAAATACTAGCGTGTAAAAGTACAAGACTAGGACAACACATCACCATTTAATTAAGAATTTTGTGGGGGGGAATTGGGATATAAATCAAATAAATAATGCAAACTATTACTAACATTTTTTTGTTTGTTTACCGAAAACTTTGTTTTACTGAACCACATAAAGAAAAGTGGACAAAATTTCAGCTTTGCTTCAGGATGCATATGAAAATCTGTATTTGAAGTAATGTTCAAGAAGATGTTTTGGTACTTGAACATAAGCTATACAAAGTCGATTGAATAATAAAAATGATGTCCAATATTTGTAATAATTAAGAGTGGTTTCAAATTCTTAAGTATAATATGTTTTTACTATGGTTTATACACATATGTTTTCCTGCAGCTTCTAAATAAAGTAGAAGAAAAAATGAAAGAATTATTTCATAAAAGTATCAAAAGGATAAAGCGGTAAGAAAGCTTTCATGCATCTCTTAAATATGAATAACAGTGAAGGACATGACTGAATAAATTACTCTGAAATCAAAGTGATAGTTAAACTATCTCCTATATTATATACAGTATAGAGTTTTTATACAGTGCTAACATTATTTAGTTAGCTAATGGACAGACTTGTAAGATGATTATTATTTCCATGTATTTAAATTAAGGGAAAGCAACCAAAAAATTATTATAATATTTTTTTATTAAAGTGTACAAATAAAAAACTAATAGAAACTAAGAAGAATATAAAAAGTAAAACTTTAAAAATTAAAAGTGCAAAGAAAAAAAGGGGAAAAAAAGAAAATATGTATATAAAAAATAACCCATAACAAATACAACTTCAGTAACTTATCATCTTCTCTGATGTGTCTATAAAATATCTCTTATGAATATACTGTATATACTATATATTAACCTAGATCAAATGTTTTAATCTTTAATTGATCTTTAATCCCATCAAATAATGCCCCACAACTTGATTTCTTATAATTTTTTCTTTGTCTCCTCTCAGAAACACCTTCACAAGGTTTTTATTTGTATGTCCCCCTTAATTTTTAAGACAACAGGCAATTTCATTTATAAATGCAGTGTGGCATCATTTTCCATATTAATTTTTTGTCTGGCATTTTTGTATCCACTTTCAGATCCATATTCAAATCAGCCTCACCTCTATATTATCTAGTAAAATCTGTTCCTCTTCTATAGCATCTTTTAAATCCAATTTTATAGTAACGGACAATTTTTAGATCAATTTCTGAGTGTATTGTTCCCAAATATCCTTGAATTCTTCCATAGTCAAATAATATTGGTTTGTTGAATTCATGAGTTTTTATTGCTTTTAATTGTAAATCTTAGTTCTCTCTGGTTCCCACTAATCAAGGTGTCCCCAACCTGTGGTTCACAGCCCACTACCAGGCTGCGGGCTAATCACTACTAGGCTATGTGAGGGGCCGGGCGGTGCACGCACCTTTGTGCGTATAGCCCCATTTGTGCAAGTGATATAATGGGCACTTGTGGCCCCTCGTGGGAGTGTCATTACAGGTGTTTGTGGCCTTGTTCGCGCTTGCATCACACACTTGCAGATCCACTCATGTGAGTGTCATCACTGACACTCGCAGCTCCACTCGTGCTCATGTTGTGGACTCTCGCAGATCCACTCATGCAAGCGTCGTCACGGGCACTCGCAGCCCCACTCATGCAAACATGGTTGCAGGCGCTCACAGCGCCCCTCGCGTGAGCCTCCTTGCGGGTGCTCGCAATCCATTCACACTTGCATCATCGCAGGCACTCATGGCCCCACTTGCAAGCATCGTCGTGGGCATTTGCATCCCCACTCATGCTAGCCTCCTCGTGGGCATGTGGATCCACTGGTGCAAGAATCATCACCGGTGCTCGCGACCCCAGTCATGTGAGTTGTCATGGGTGCTCGTGGCCCCACTTGCAGAAGGGTCGCCATGAACATTGTGGGCACTCATGCACACGCATACATGTGCTTTCCTCTCTGACAAAATCGTCCCCTTTCCCCCCTCCCCCCTCCACTCCGGCCGTCAACCCGGAATAATTGGGGCACTCTGTTCTAGTTAACCTTCAAAGTCCCCTCTTCTCATGTTCTTTTTTTTTTCTAATCAACAACACTTTCCTACAGGAAAATTTCTTGCAATCAATTTCAAAATCTTCGTATATATTTCTGTTAATTTTTAAGCAACCCACAGGAAATATTCTTTCAAATACGTCTGGCCCCTTAATTCATTTATAAATTTCCAAAATCAATATATTGCTGCTTATTCAAAAATGAAATTTTTAAAAAGTCTTTAAATTTGCATGAAACTTCTTTAATCATGGACATAAGGAAATTCTGCCAGAAACTTCTTTTTTACCAAATATATTATTATGAATACTGTATATATGACAATTTTAATTAGAATGAGTAAAAATAAGATTTTTTTCCTATTATCTGTGATCAAGAAAATATGATTCATTTAATTTTTAATTTCCTATCTTTTATACATTATAGTATTAATAGCACTCAGAACAAACATAGACAGATTTCCCTGGCAATCTATTTAATGCTATATATCCCGGTTTAAGAAATAGTAGTTTATATGGACACATATAGTCGGTGAAGTCATATTGTACACAAACTTCTCATTAGTAGTTAATATATGTTTACATACATATATGAAAAACTAGAAATATGCTGGAAATTAGAAAATAGATTTCTGAAGATAATTTAATATAGGTTTAGATATTTTAGAATTAAATGTAAATTTAGAATGTAAAAGGCTTTAGTACATTTTCTTTATTGTAATTTTCTAATTTCCAGCACTGGAAAGTAGAAAATAGTAAAGAAAATATGCTAAATGTATGAATTTATTTAATTTATTAGTTTAAAATATGTATTTTGCTTGTAGCATTGGATTGTCTATCTATTCAAACATAATAGTTCCTTTAGGAAGCTGCTATTTAAGGTTGTCTGACAATAATAAAATGTGTCCTTCCTTCCTTCCTTCCTTCCTTCCTTCCTTCCTTCCTTCCTTCCTTCCTCCCTCCCTCCCTCCCTCCCTCCCTCCCTCTCTCCCTCCCTCCCTCCCTTTAGCTTGCCAGTCATTATGAGAGGGGATGCCATTGATAGATACTGGCCTACAGCAGATGGGCGATTGGTGGAATATGACATAGATGAAGTTGTATATGACGAAGAATCAGCTTATCAGAATATTAAAATTTTACATTCAAAACAATTTGGAAATATTCTTATCCTCAGTGGGGATGTTAGTGAGTATTATCAGTTTAAAATAAAATACATGCATTTGCTATTGAATCAGGCCAGACAATGTTTCTAAATTGCCAGACTAAATACAAGCCATAACCCGTGGCTTATTAAGGGCTTGGAATTGCCTATTTCTAGGATTATTTTTCTTAAATTGCTAAACATTTATTCTGTGTAAGAATTAATTGATATTATATTCATATGTCATGAAAGAAAGGATCATTAGATGCTTGTCACATTTTTTCTTGGATGATATAAAATAAAATATAAATATAAGTTATATACTTATATTGTGATATACAATATAAGTATATAACTGATATAAATCAATACCTTTTTGCCTACCAGGCAGAGCAAAGCATTAGGTCTTGAAAGTTGCAAAATATCTACCCCCTCTTTCAACTTTCTACTTATTACAGGTAGTCCTTGACTTACAACAATTTGTTTAGTGACCGTTTGAACTTACAACACTGACAAAAAGTGACGTATGACTGTTTTTCACACTTAAGACCATTGCAGCATTTCCATGGTCTGTGATCAAAATTCAGGTGCTTGGCAACTGATTTATATTTATGACGGTTGTAGTTTTTGCAAACTTCTGACAAGCAAAGTCAATGGGGAAGTCAGATTCACTTAACAACCATGTTACTAACTTAACAATTACAATCATTCACTTAACAACTGTGGCAAGAAAGGTCATAAAATGGAGCAAAAATTCACTTAACAAATGTCTCACTTAGTAACAGAAATTATGGGCTCAGTTAAGGTTGTAAGTTGAGGACTACCTATAATTATAAAGTTACCCTTACAAATTTGCTAATTTCTAAAGGATGAATGTAAGACTAACCAACTATAAATATATATAATATCCATTGTATAATATAAATTGTCAGTTAACTAATTAGTTATAAGTATCAAAATGGTTATTGTTATGAAAAGATTGTTTTATGTTTGTGTATATTCATAAGTTTCTTTTTCTGCTTTTTAAGATCTGGCAGAAAGTGACCTAGCATATACAAAAGCTATAATGGGGAGTGGAAAGGAAGATTACACCAACAAAGAAGTGCTCATTCTTGGAGGTGGTGATGGAGGAATATTGTATGAAATTGTCAAAATGAAACCAAAGATGGTCACCATGGTAGAGATATCCTTTTGATATGAGCCTGTGATCATTAATATAAAAACAAAAGTCTTCATCCCATTCTATTTGGAACAAAGATTATTGGTTTATTATTTATCTTGATTCCTTAGTTTAGAGCATTATTTAAAACTTTGGCTATTATCTTAAATCTGGTTCAAATTGTATAGCATTTTATAATTCAATTGAAGATTTCTTGTTACTTTTAAAATTGTTGTACTTAAGAATTTCTGATGATCATACAACATTTTTGTGTAAAATAACATCTTTAATCTGGTCTAAATATTATGTAACAAATATACTATAATAGAGTTTTGTTCAGGCAACTAAGAGTTGCTTTACTCCAGTGGTCCCCAACCTTTTTGGCTTTGTGGACTAGCAGCGGGGGTGGGGGGAAGAGGGGATGGTTGCACGTGAGCAGCAGGTAAGCTCCTGCTCACCCGCCACTTCCGCAACCTGGTACCAAGCCCAGGGTTGGGGACCCCATTTTACTCTATCTGGCAAGGAGAGACAATCTACAGGGATGGCCATCATATCTGCCAGTGGCTCAGTTCTAAGGATGGATGATGCAATTGGTTAAAATACTCTGATTAATATCAGGTCATATGTCAAAGAATTATAATAAATATATGTGCGTTTCTAAGAATATTTTCACTTAATCTATTTGGCTCCAGGAAAACTCTCAATTTATTAATGTTTTAGTGGTATGTTCATTATACAATTTAGGCGTTTCAAGGCAGAAACAAAGAACATTATGAAGAATGTTATAGTAACAACAAAATGAGTTATTTCATTCTTATTAGTATCAAAAACATTGACGAAATGGTGATTGATGGGTGTCGAAAATACATGCGTAAAACATGTGGAGATGTCTTGGACAATATAAAAGGAGAATGCTATCAGGTATATATTTTATTTATAGCATTGTATGGTTTTCTCATAAAAGTATTTGTTTCTGGAAAGTACATAGAAATAAGTTCAATTATTTGTTATACTCTTTGCTTTTTTATATCTAAAGCCAATTTTGTCGGTATATAAGTTCTATTATCAATATTGGTGATGTGAGGTAATGATCTGAATTGTATATAAATGCAGGATGTCCTTAAAATAGAGCTAACTCTATTTTAATACAGCTACTATATTTTAAATATGCAGGAGGTTTAACATTTTGGAACCACTGGGTTTTTTGGTTTGGTTTCAATTGCCATTTTGTTTTAGGGGAGCAAAGGGAATTGTACACTGTTCAACATCAGTGGCTTTTAAATCTTGTAAATGAGTGAATGATAAATAAATGTGAAATATTTTTGGAATAGGGGATAATGTCTTGAATTGAAACATTGATGTTTTGTTACTAATAGTAATTCTTCTTGTGCCATATCCGTCATCGGACATTGGCGATCATGTTGGCAATCCTATTTTTGTCAACAGCAGCATGAAAAAGTGCTGCTGAGTTTTGTCCAAACCAGTCCTTTAGGTTTTGAAGCCATGATGTTCTTCTGCCTGGATCTTGTTTGCCTTCAGTCTTTCCCTGGAGGATTAAGTGAAGGATGCCGTATTTTTCTGGGTGTCGCATCACATGTCCAAAATATTCTAATTTTCACTTTTTAATGGCTTTGATGATTTCCCTTTGCTTTCCCAGGTGGCTTATCACCTCCTCATTTGTGATTTTGTTAACCCAGTAACAGCCATCTGTAAATCCACATTTCAAATGCTTCTAGTTTCTTCAAATGGATTTCTGTCAGAGACCAACTCTCTACTCTGTAGAACAGGATAGAAAAGATATAATATCTGACAAGCCTGATTATCAGTCTTAGGCTTATGTCGTGACTGCAGAAGACCTTTTTCATTTTGAAGAATGCTGTTCAAGCTTTCTCTATCCTTGTCTTTACTTCACTGATCGTGTCCCTATTACTAATAGTAATAGAGTATATTTATTCTTATCTGTCATTATTTTTGGCTGTATGTGTCAAGGTTCCTACTGACGAACCCAACCAAGCCAGCAATTCGAGACAGTCAGATCTCTTTAAGCATAACTTTATTGAGTACATCATTTTGGCATGCATGGAGCAAAAGCAACTCTAACTAGTTCCTGCTGTTTTCGCATAATTAAAGAATGAATTCTTTTCTCCCATCCTTTGACCCCACTAGAACAGGAGTCCTCAAACTTTTTGAACAGGGGCCACTTCACGGTCTCTCAGACTGTTGGAGGGCCGGACTGGGTGGGTGGGTGTGGCTATGTGGTCATGTGACTAGGTGGTCATGGCTAGGCGGGCATGTGACTGGATGGGCGTGGCCAATTTATCAGTCCATTTTGCCAATTTAGCAGTCCATTAAATAATACATACAAATTAAACTTTAATTTGTTTTTTCTCCTGGGGGTGTTTTATTTGCTTTTGTTTGACTTTTCTTTTTACTAGATCATTTTTTGTTTTCGAGTCTAGTGGTCCACTTCAGAAAACTCAGTTTTGCAGCAATTCTTCTCAGCCCCAAGGAGGTTACAATCAACAAGTCTCTCCCTCCCTCCCTCCCTCCCTCCCTCCCCCTCCCTCCCTCTCCCTCCCCCTCTCTCTCTCTCTCTCTCTCTCTCTCTCTCTCTCAAAGCGTGCTAAAAGAGCAAAGGGGGTGGGGAAGAGAAACCTTGCTGAATTCCATTCCATTCCATTCCATCCTATTCCCATTCCCATTCCATCCTATTGCTATTGCTATTCCATCCCACCCCTATTCCCATTCCATTCTCTCCTATTTCCATTCCATTCCATTCTATTCTATTCTATTTTATTTGCATTGTGACAATCTCAATCCGCTTTTCGGATATCACTGGCCGCCCCGGAGCTTCCTCCGCATGTGCTGAACGTGTGCAACAGGTTCAGGCAAGGGTTTCCCATGTCTGGCAGGCATCAGTCGGAACAGATCTGGTGAGGAAGCCTTAAGGTGGGAGCTCAGCAGCGCTGATCCGCCAGCCAGCCAGCCCTTCCTGCCTCCCTCTCCAGGGGTGGAGACGGCCATCCTGCTTTGGGGGGCAGTCAGCCTCGCTGGCCACAGCCCTGTAAGTGCCAAGCGACAAGTGGGAGAAGGGCGGGCAGCCAAGCGCCGGTGGGAGGGGAAGAAGGAGGTGGGGGTGGCTATTGTGGTGCCCGGTCCCTCTCTCACTTGTGTCTCGCCAGCCCTGCTTCACCAACAGGTGCCCGCCGGCTTGCAGGAGCCTCTTTTGGGCCAGCTACTTGCCTGCTTGGAGCACGCTTGAAGGAAGGAAGGAAGGAGGCTCATTCAGAGCAACTGACAACATTGTGCCCTGGAGCGAAAGGTGGCTGACCTGTAGGGCAAGAGAGCTACCGGCCGAGGAAAGAACTCAAAAATTTGCCACCCTTTGCTCTGCTGAGGAAGAAAAAACCGAAGGGTCCCAATGGAGAGGTTGTACCTGCCATGTAATTATGCATCTATTCCAACAATTGTGCTTAGTGCAAGGTGGCGCTCTCCACTGAGGGCCGCCTGCTCACCATCCCCTCTGCCTCGGGCCCCGCATCCAACCCAGGATTGGGGGATGCACCACTTCTGTGCAAGTTTGGCCACCAGAGGAGAGCGCCGCTCTGGGGTTCTGCGTGCTTTCAGGCCTCCCACCCCTTTCTGCTTCTGCTCTGTTTCACCCAGAATGAATGGAAAGTGTGCAGGTACCTGGCACTAAGCGCAACTCTTGGAAGCAACGCGTAATTACGCAGCAGGCACAGCTTCTTCCATTGGGACCCTTCGGCTTGATGGTGGACTGAAGTCCCTGGTAAATCTAGCTCTTTCCTCGGTAAAAGGTGCATCCCTTTATTATCCGGCAGAGTGTTTCTGGGGGTGGGGGAGGGCAAAAATGGGTCCCTCAGAGGACTCCTGGCCCCGTTTTTCCCTTCCCCGATCCCACAAGCACTCTGCTGGCCATAAACGAGGTACACGAAGGCCTCCTGGGAGCTCCGCACGGCCCGTTTTTTCTTCCCTCATCCCTACAAGCACTCTGCCTGCTAAGGTAAGTCCTGCGCTTGGCTGAAGGGTGGGGCCGAAGGGTGGTGAGGTGGGTGGGGCATCTTCTGGGTCCCCTGATGGCTGGATTAATGTCTTGGGTTGGCCGTACCTGGCCTTAGTTTGAGGACTCCTACCCTAGAAAGTGGAAAATAATAAGTACATACGTTAGTTACTCCAGGGTTTCCTTGGCCTCTAGGAAGGATTCCTTGGCTTCTGGGGATATTTCTCATAGAATTTCTCTACTAATCTATCTTCCTTCATGTTCTAGACTAGGTATTGGAGTTTCCCCTTGAATAGTCTGGAGTCCAGAATCCGTTTAACTTCATAGTGCAGGGGTATCAAACTCTATTTCATTGAGGGCTGCATCAGGCTTATGGTTGACCTCGGGGAGAGGGGAGGCTGGTGTCGGCTTGGCTGGGGTGGGCATTACCAGCTTGACATCACTTATGGCCAGGGTGACCCTGGGGTGGCTGGAGGGATCCATTGTCTACAGCAGAGGAAGGCGAGACCAGGGTGAACGCCAAACCCTTGTCTACCAGAGGAGCCTTGCCATCCCTCTCAGGTCACGTGCAGGACCCCTGGATGGTGGTGCAGGCTGCCTGGAGCCTGGGCAGTAGAGGGCAAATGCCCAACCCTGCCCAGCCTTCCCCAAGGGTCGCCCGGCTGAGCTTATCTCCTCCTTGAGGCTGCTGCTGTGCTTGCTGTGCTTGGCCAGGTTGCTCATGGTGTGGGTGGGCGGGCAAAGTGTGTGGGTCAGAGGGAGGTTCACTCCTTCTCCATGTGAGAAGACCTGGCTTTGTAACCAAAGCATCCTCAGCGATACGATGGGAGACCACCAGGGCAGCAGGGCTGCTGATGGCCAAGTGCTAAGGCAGGACTTTCCTCAGACCCTCCCTCCCATTATAATTTCCTTCCTTCCTTCCTTCCTTCCTTCCTTCCTTCCTTCCTTCCTTCTCTTATTTTTCCTTTCCTGTTCATTCTCCTTTCTTTCTTCTTTCCCTCTTTCCTTTTTCCTTCCTTGCTGTCTTTCCTTCTTTGTTCTTTGTCTTTGCTCTTTCCCTTTCTCCTTTCCTGTCGTTTCTTGTTGCTCAAATGCAAAAGGGCAAACATTTGTTGATGCCTCCTTGCTTTGTGATCTAATGCCACTTTTGCTAATAGTTTGTGGCCACTTAAAAGACTAAGAACAAACCTGGCTCAGTTTATCCCATGCTTGCATTTAGTGGGGGTGTCCACAGACAACAATACAGCAAAACTGTCAAAATGGTGGCTATGATAGTTGATCAGAGCTCCTCTATTTTTTATGTGCAACAGCTTTAGCGTTTAGGAACAGAGGTAAGTTAATTACTTTTCTATTAATACATAATCCTTAAAAGTGCTCTCCTGTAGAGACCCTGTATTATCTAATTCAGAGGTCCCCAACCTTTTTGGCACCGGTTTCATGGAAGACAATTTTTCCATGGACCTGTGTATGTGTGTGTGACTAAGACAAGTGTACAGTTTGGGAAAGAGGCACAGACAAAAGTGGTAAATTAAATGGTGGGCCATGCATGGACTGAAATAAGTATGGGTGTCAGCCCATAGGAAATCAAAACTGCAAGGCAAGGTTCCTCAAAGTATAGATTTATTAGGCATGTCATATTGGCACAGCTGGTAAAAACCTGAATCTGAAGTCCCCCAGGTTTTCCCCACTTAATTCAAAGTCCAAAGTTCTTCCCCACATTACACACATCCATCACATGCCCTAATCAGGTACCTCTCCCCACCTCGGATGCCTCCCTTCCATGCCTCTCCAGGTGCTGGTGAGTGTGTCCTTTGTTCCCAGGAGAAAGAATGTTATTTTGATTACATATCCTCCTTAGCTATCTCTACTCCTCCCCTTCCTTTCCACAGCTCCAGCCAAC